ATATGTTCAAATTTAGTATTAACTCACTTTTTATTTTTTCGGCTGTTTCCCCCCTTTCTATTGCAAAGGCCCCATATAATCTAATCATCTAATCATCTTTTATTAACATAATCATTTATAAATTTTTTATCCTTTATTTTTTTTTAAAAAAAAGAAAGTAAATTAAATTAAAATAAATTAAATAATAATAAAATAAAATTTATATATATAAAAAAAAATTTATCTTTTTTTGGATAACTTAAAACTACTCCGATGTTATACAATGTATAATAATTACTATAAAAGATAAGAAGCCGAACATCATCAGGTGACGATCATTTATATTGTTTTATATAATCTATTTAAGAAGGTCATGCAATGGGTACATGGGTGAATTTAAGTTTTTTTGAAGCAAGAGATACATATTTGTTTACTACTTTACCCCTTTTATTGAAAATAGGGTCCCCGGAATAGACAATTTTATGCGCATATTTGGTGTTGTTATTGTATTTATTATTTAAGAGACGATAAAAAAAAAATATATTATTATAAAAGAAAATGTTTTGAATTTGCTTAGAGATTAAAAACAAAAAAAATATAAAAAAAACAATAAATAATGTAAATAATGGTTACCAATTTTTTTTTGTGTGAATTCAACTGCAATTAAGATGTCAAAGTTTACCGTTTTGTTTATCATTTAGTTTTGAGAGACACATGATAGAGTATTACATAATTTAAATTTTTTTTTTTCTCAATCAAATGGAGTAAAATTTCTCTTCCCAAATGACGTGAATTTATTTAACATGAACTAATTAAAAATATAATTTAAAAACAGAATGTAAATTTGTTTTTATATTGGCAAAAGAAAAACCACATTCATATGGACTAATATTTTAAACAATATTTACGCGAGAAAAAATGAGGTACCCTGCCTGATTGCATATGTAATATTATTGGAACCGGGAAACAATAGTTAGATTATTATGGATAATAAAAGAATGCATTACAGGATGCACAAAAAATGCTTTTTTTTTTATTTATTTAAATTCCTTTCCAATTTTACTCTAAAAACAGCCAAAGTTCTATATAAGTCTTAAACCCTTGAATTATTCATTTATGAACATTGTGTAAAAAGGGGTATGGTATAATGTTTTGTTGCTCAAATGTGGAAGTATAAGTTATAAATACAGCAATTCATTGTCTCTAGTGTGCCCTGATCTATCTACAGAATTTCAATCATTTAAATGAAGTACAAGGTAAAAATTTTTTTTACGTGTCGCATTCATTACTTTATATTAATATTTTAAATTTTTCGTGACACGGTTTTGTGATTATATATTCATATTATTTTACGCCCTATACAAAATGGTAATATCTTATCGACTTTTATATTCGGGATAATAATTTATAATAACATTTTAAACGGTTTGATCATTAAAATTAAAAATATTTTGTTCATTTTTTTTTAAGTAGGGTGTTTCACTAAATAATCCCTATTTAAAGAGTGGAAGTCGATTATGATTTTTGCCAAGGAATACGCGAGCCGTTAGAATAATGAACAGCGGAGCTTGATAAGGTTCTTTCCATCAACATTTAAGTGATAAATTAATATAGATAAGAATAATTTCCATTCTAAGGTCAAAAAATAAAAAAAATACGAATAAAAATTACATGACACAAGTCAATTCTCATATTTTTCCTTTTGGCGATGGCAGTTGGTCTGCAGAAGGAGAAATTATTGACGTCGATATTAGTGACATAAACATTGTATTAATTTGCAACAACGATATTCGACTTGCGACTCAAATTGTGAATAGGTTACGAAAGAGGGGAGCAAAAAAAATTCGATTATGCTATCCCGAAGAACTACAAATTAAAGTAAACATATTTCAATTATATTTTACATTCTTGTGATCTAAATGATAATGCAATGAATAAATTTTCTTATATAATTCCTTTCAAGTACGTGAAAGCCGAAATTGATGCGATCGGTGTACCAGTTTACTTACAATCACAGGCTTATTTCGAATGGAACATAATCGGTAAGATGTCTTTACAACTTATTATTCTTATGATTATTATATTATTTTTATTATTATTATAGGACCTCGAACTATATTCATAAAAAAGGTAAGATGATTTAAAGTTGCTAGAAAGAAATTATATAATCATATCGATCTGTAATAATGGAGATAACTAAACTTATGCGTGTCCGGCCGAAATTAATGCGTACCCAAGGGAACTTTGCCTATATAAGTTTTGTTCGAGTCCTATCCTTATCATTTCGTGATTAAATGCTAAATTTTACTTACTTCTCAATGCTCAATGCCTTTTAATTCTCAATGCCTTTTTTTAATAGATGCGACGGTCGTGATTAGCTTATTATATAATAATTTCGATAAGCAAGAAATGCTATTTAACGCCTGTATTCGACAAAGTGTACCACTTTTTATTACCTGGGATTCTGGAATGGAGTTGTAAGTAATCTATAAATTTATATTCCATAATCTTTTGAATAATCGAGAAAATAACGCGTTAATATGCTTAGGGAACTATTTGTTAAAGATAAAGAATGTCCTCGAACAAGGTTACATAAAAAATTTTTGGATCATCAGTTAATATGTAAAAGTCACCCTTGTGGAATGCATTGGATTCTATTTCAAGTCGGTATCTTTGAAGAAGAAATTCTAAAACATGACATTTCTACAATAACGACCGCATTCAATAGTCCAAATCAATACATTTTCTTAAATGTTACAATTAAAGAAGATTTGGCTCAATTAGTCGTAGAATCCATGATATCAAGAACAATACAACTTAATAGAAATTATGTTGTTGGTGATTTCATCGCTCACACATTTCTGGGTCATGTATATCAAGTTGCAAATAATGGTAAGATCATAATTTAGTTAATTTTCATTTTATGATTTCTAATTTCAAAAATTGTACAAATTAAAGGTATGAAATACAATCATAAGATGCCAGCATCCATAACTGAATTCGAAACTTCTAATCAACTGCGACTAGCTGGTATCGTTTCTGCACGACCTCTTCCTCGAATTCTATATCCAGGTTGCAGTATATTTCTTCAAAAACTTGGTATTGAAGTTTCTTTTCAACATGATGCTACTATCTATAAAATTTTAAGACATCATCAACAGATAACCTTAAAACAATGGTTCCTTAATAAAATTTCAAACCCGGCATTTTGATCCCTTTATTCTTTCGTATTGACATTTAATTAGGGAATTAGCAACGTTACATGTTACATCTTTCACACGAATTCTTTATGACTTTTAAGTTAATATCTAAGATATTTGTAAGTTTAATAAGTAATTAGACACACTATTGTTCGAGTATAAATAATTAACGTTTTATGTATAAAAAAAGATAACTGTTGGGATAAGTGTATTTTTTTATAAGACCTAATAAGGTTCAGTTCACTGTACATCAATAAAATTATGCTTTTTTAAATATGATTTAAGATAAAATAAAATAACTGATTATGTCACCAATTAGGGTGGGTGACACCGATGATCAATTATATCAGCCAATTAAAAAATAAAAATATTAATATTTCGGATTATCTTTGCATTAAAAATTCGAATAGACCTTAAAATCTTTGATTGATATCAAATGATATGGGGCTTTTGCAATAAAAAGGGGGAAACTGCCGGAAAAATCAAAAATGAGTTAATGCTAAATTTGAACATATTTCAGCCTAAAAATCATATTTGGCATATCAAAAAATTTAATATCATTATTATTACTAGAGAACGGCTTCGGAAACCGTTGTTAAGTACGGAGCAACGGACGGACAACCGGACTACCGTAGAATGTATAGTATCCGGGGTATTACAAACCGTAATATCCGGGTACTAAATATATTAATAAGTGAGTATGTAAAATACTCATCTTCATCTTCATCAGTATAAATTAATTAAAATTAAAAATTAAAGCCTTTTAACGTAGTATCTTAAAATTCTGTTGTTCTACGGTTTTTTAATTTCTCAATAGATTTTTTTTTTATTTACCGTAAAAATTTTGAAATACCACTTATTTGCTGTTATTTTCATAAATTAGTTTATTCTAATTATTTTATAGTTAGTAATGTGTTAAAGGAATAGATTTATTTATAGTTTTGAACAGAAAGAAGATATTTTATAACCAAGTAAACGAAAGAATTCCTAACCCCTGATGTTTCATGTTTTTAAGATATCGACGTATTTGATGTAAGATGATTGGTTCATTGCCATCATGTGATTCTGGCAAATCAATCAAATAAATAACACGCTTCTCATTCACATGACAAGATGTGACACTTTCACTCGTGTTTTTGATTACAAATGATATAAATGATAGAACATGACGAAATTTTATAAATTAATTTAATTATTTCGAAAGTTACCTACCTTCACCCTTTCTCCTTTGACATAAATCTTTTATTGACAATAATATAGTTTTTTACAAATCTCATCTAATCACGTAGAACTTTAACGAGACACTGAAACGTATTCTGAAAAAGAGAGAGAGAAAGAAAATTATTATCCTTCTTTCAATGACGTGATCAAACATTTCTTTCTATAAAATTTTTATTCTATAGATCTATGGAAACCGAAAAAAATTCTACGCAAGAATACAAGATGATACCTAAACTATCGCGACCTGTTTATATCTTTGAAAAATCCCCTGTCGCCTTGATATTACCTCAAGAAATTCTTTGTGAAATATTTAGTTACTTGGGAAAACACCCTGTTCATTTTACACGTGTTGCTCAAGTATGTCGTACCTGGCACTTCGCGGCAGAAAATCATACCTATTGGAGACGATTAATAAGATCTCTTGAATTACCTGATCCTAAACCAAGGGCTTATAAATACAAAACATATAAATCTGTCATTATAAAGAGTTGGGGAAAATTCTGTACTTTATGTCATATGAGAAAAACACGAAGTAATGGATATCATATTAAACCGGTATTTGTTGATATGGTCAAGATCGATAAGATCGACTTTAGGGCCAGCACATGGTTTAACGTTGTTCTTAATGAAGTTAAAAATTCTGCTTCGCTTGTGAATAATGATGGTAAAGATCAAATACAGGTCGTAAAACGAGAAGAAACTTCTCGATTTCTTAAACATCGGCTTTGTTGTAGATGTAATTCGATTTATAGCAGGTTAATTAGAGAGGAAGGAATCAACGAACGTCGTAAATTATTATCTTCTATACTAGAAAAGTTTGGTCTAACTTATCGACGTGATAATGTTCAATGTGATCGATTTGTTTTTTATGGAGAGGGAGATCCTACAAAGATCGCTCAACAACAGTTTATGTCCATCTCGACTAAGGTATTTATTATTTATTTTTTAATTTTTTTACTTTTTTTTTAGAAAAAAAATATATATATATTAATTCTTTTCTCATGCGAATAAAAATTTTTGATTTGTTAGTTAATACGCTATTGAAAGTATTTTCTTGATCGCGGTATAAAGGCAATATTAAAAATCAGAGAATTATAAAATTGGCAATCATGGATTTGAACAACTATTAATGCTTATTACGTTCTTTTCTTACATTATACATGTCATGTATGAAATTTTCAAATAAAAAATTATAAATTTGTATAATCAATTGCTTTTTATTTTTATTTTTTTTTTATTTTCAATATAACTTTGTTGATAAATTCTTTTTTAACGTACGAATGGAATTTTTTTGATAACGATTTAAATTTCGCCTAAAAGGTATCTATCCTTTCAAAGTTTTTCTGCGTTTCACAGAATCAAGTACCAGCCGCAAGAATTAGTGTAATAGTAGATCTTTACCGAATTAGATAAATCCCACCAGCATTAATAATGAAATTTCCTAATTTGGTAAAGATTAAACGTTTAAATTAGAAGAATTTGTTGATAACCAGTTTATCTTTACCGCCGACGGATTTAGTATTTTGTCACCGCAGAAAATCATCGTCCCCTGCACAATTAGTATTGGTAAAAAATTTGTAAGTAACCTTCATTTTGGCTTTGTACCAAATCTTTTTTTCTCCTTTATATCTTCGTTACCAATGGTTAATTTGACTAACCCGAAATAGTCATAAAATGACAAATGAAAACCGAAAAATGTCATTATCAATATTCGTTATATTATTGCTAAATTTGTAGAACCAAAAGAATACATTTTTGGTCGACCATTTATATTAACCGCCCAATACATGCCGTATTGGGAACTACAAAAAAGAACAATGTCAAGCTATCATGTACAGTTACATTGCATGTATGGGTTATGTCATCTAAACAATAAAAGATCACATTCGTGTAATAAATAATAATGTACTTATTATAATAATTGTCATACAAATAGAAAGTTTTAGTAAATTTGGCTATCAGACAATTTACACACATTGACATTGTATTATTTATTTTACATATTACACGACATAATGATCAGTTTTTTTTATCTCAAATTATATTTTTCATTTGGACTATAAATATTATGTAATTCAAATATGAGTGGACTCTTTGCTGTAGAAAGAAAGAAAGCTGCAAAAAAAAAAATTTTTTTTAGAGTTTCCTCCTTTTTACTGCAAAGCGCCATATGTGTTCTACCGTTAATAATACATCTTGATCCCTCCCTAAAAAAAAAAAAAATAGGGTATTATCTTAAAAGTAGGGTATATTATTTTAATAATAAGCTTATATACTTAAAATAAAATAGAATAATAAATATAATATAATAAAAATAATTTATTAAAGATTAAATTTCTTTATTTTTAGATTAAAAGTATAGAACCAACTGATAGATAATAAATAAAATCAATGGTTACTTTTTTAGAATTTAAAAAAAATTTTATAAATATATATTATATAAATCTATTATAATATAATGTAAAAAACACAGCTTAAAATTTATAAAATTAAAAACTTTTAATAATATTAATAAAAAAAATTAATCTTTCTTTTTAAAATAATTAAATCAATAATATTTATTTTATTAAAAAAATAATAATAAATTTTTATTTGAAAATTATGCTTATAACAAGTTTTTGAAAAAAAAATTTTGATCAGTATTAAATTTAAAATTTAAAATATATATTAAATAAAATATTCAAATAGCTAATTAATTAATAATAAAAAAAATTATATTTCTAATTTAATAAGTTTATTAATTATATTTATTACTATAAACTTTAATTTCACTAATTGAAATCAAAATTAAATTAGATATATAATAAATCATCTATTAATCATTTGTTGATCAAATATAAAATCAATTTACCAAAATTATTATGTTTGATTTATGAATAATTTATATAATCAAAAATTTAAAAATTTAAAAGCAATTTAATGCATTAATAATAACAATATAAAAAGAAATAAAATGTTATTTTTAAAAATTTATAAACTTTTATATAATTTAAAGATCTTCAATTTTATTATATGGAAAATTTGCTAGAAAAATAAAGCTTTGAATATTTTTTATTAAAATTTTAATTTTTATTACATTTTATTTTTTAATAATATTAGATTACAATAGGGATTGGAATCGATTTAATTGAATCTCCAAATTTTTTCATAGACATTCAACCTGGCTTTATATCAGTTTCTAATTTTAGCAAAATAATCAACATTTAGACAGCATTAAAAAATACTTTGGAGTTAGATCGATTAATATGCATAAAATAAAAAAGATTTAATTCAATTCAATTCATTTTACTATGTTAAATCGATTTTTGCATAATCGATTTCAATCCCTAGATTACAATATAATAAAAATTAAAATTTTAATAAAAAATGTTTTTTTCTAGCAAATTTTTATATATTACTAAGATTTTATAAATCTGATAATTTATAATAGGATAATATAATTTACTAATACAAATTAACCTAAAATATAATATACTAATATTATAATAATAACTTTTAGAGTAAAAATCAATATTTTATAATTTAATAATATTATATATATTTTATCAATATTTAAAGAAACTGTAAATTAATACCAATAAACGTATGCTAAAAATATTTAGCCTGTTTATATAGGAAATTTATTATATGAGTAAAATATTATTAAACTTGAATAATAATCAATAACCTCATTATTCATAATATATTTGCCTAAAATATATGAAATTTTCTCATATTATAAGGATAATTTTAAACTAATTTCAGAATTTAATATCTTTTAATTTGATTTATTATAGTATTTTTAAATTATT